ACTCGACGGCACACAACAGCACCACCACCAACTGTGTGTATAAAATTATGAAGTAATACTAATGAGAGGGTGGACTGATGGGGGTTTTGGTGGATTTCAGGTGCTTGTCCTAGCCGTGAAGCAGCTGTTTCCCAAGTTTGAGTTCATGTGGCTGGTGGAGGAAGCCAAAAAGAACCTGCCTTTAGAGCTGGATTTCCTCAACGAAGGGAGGAATGCCGAGAAGGTGGCCCAGATGCTCAAGCACTTTGACTTCTTACAGGTAGGAGAGGCAGGGCAACAGGGCACAGTGGTGTGGAGGGGGAGTTTGTGGGGAGGACCGGTCCCTGTCCAAGCACCCCCTGTCAGAACACGGGTGGGAACATCGTCTTCCAGAGTCCTCTTCACAAGGATGATGATTGTTATTTGTGATGCACATTCAAACCTTTGAAGGCAAAACGACCAAGAAACACCAAGTGTGATTGTCGGTCTGTCAATCAAACAGATGTTTATTGACTAACCTAAAATTGCAAGACCTTCATCACTGTTCAGTAGTCATGATCTCTGCTTCCCTGCAGCATAGGATGGTGATGTTGATGCTGACAGCTAGTACTTACTGTACTCCTAGTGCGGTTCTAAGCACTTTATCTAGATCATACCTGCTCATCTAATCCACATTCACTTCTGCCGTCTGTGTTCATAAAGATCACCAGTCTATGAAAAGCCATACAGAGTTAAAGACACACTGCTCAAACATGTCATCAGTGAGGCCTAACAAAAAGATAACAGTTCCAACTTATGGTGACCCATGTGTATCAGAGTAGGACTGTATTTTATAGGATTCACATTGGCTGCTTTTGGGAAAGTAGATTGCCAGTGTTTTCTCTGTGGCACCTCTGGATGAACTTGAACCTCTAACCTTTTGTTTGACATCTGAGTGTGAGCATGTCAGCCATTTGCACCCCCAGGGAGGGACTCCAAAGAGAAAAGAAAAGAAAGAGGATAGGAACCTAATAAACACTCTAGCACAGCTTTATACCTGTGAGACAGTTAAGCAATACATAATACTATGATACAGGTGGCATTTCCCCCAGAAGTTTGCGTGTGGAAGTGGGTATCAGAAGGCTTGCAGCTCATGAGTGTGGTGAAGTGGGACAGAAGTTGGTGACAACAGATGGGGCTGGGTGCCATGATGTGTTAAGGATTCTTCGATGTCTGCATTCACCTGGTATTTCTTGTAGATGACATTGCACATAAGCAGATGCAAAACTTATGTGGTGAGCAGAGAGTTTCCTAATACATCAGTCACATGAACAAATTTGTATTTTCAGAACTGACTGTAAGACAATTAGGTGGCAAACTATCTCAAACAATACATGGTCACAGCTGTAAGTGCCTGCAGTGGTACTGCATGCAATGTTCCCAGAATTCAGATGAAGGGACAACCCAGAACGCCACTTCCCACCTGTTGTTGTTAAATGCCATTGAGTCAGTTCTGACTCAAAGCAACCTTGCATAAGGTTTCCGAGGAGCAGCTAGTGGGTTGGAACCACCAACCTTGCGGTTCAAGCCGACTTTGTGGTTGAGTGTTTATCCTGCTATGCCACATCAGAAGTGCGTAAGCGTGCTGTTACCATGCAGGTTGATGCGTGCTGTGAAAGAGACTTACTTATGTTTCTATGAATGCTCAGTAGGAATGATCGCATCCCACCCAGGTTAAGAAGCTCAGAGAAGGCTTCCAGGAGGTGGTGGCTGTCTACCAAGGGATGGGTGATATTTACTTCTGTGCCAGGTGCTGTGGCACTGAACTCTGCACAGGTACCATGACATTGAATCTTTATACCATGGACCCATTTTACAGATGACAGTATTAGGGAAGTCAGGGCTAGAAACCAGATTGATTTCAAAGCTGCTGCTCTGTTCAGCGTATTCTATTTCCTCTTACCCAGCGGGGACACTCATTGGAGTCAGAACTATGAGCCAGACAAACCAAACCATCTCCTCCACCATTCCCATGGAAACAACAAAATCATCCTCTGGCTGGGACCAACTAGTAACTGCCAGACCAAGACATGTAATAATAGTATTAGTAACCCACATTTCTGAAAAGGTGATGCCAAATGGGTAAATAATTAATGCAACGATTCGACCTGCTGCTTCTAGAACTCGCACACCATGCCTACGACGATGGAGGAATTAGGCTCCTGAGTAATTAATTTTGCCTAAACACATAACAAGTGGGAAGTGAATTTTGTGCTGTGAACCTAGTTCAGCTCTTAAAACTGGAGATAAATTGTCTTTGTACACTGGCACCCCATCACAACATCTGTGCGTAATTAAGCCTCAGCAAAAAGCTTACCTCTGAGTGTATGAGGCACCTTCCGCTGCGTATGTGGGGTTTAATAACCTTAGCCCTGCACTGTAAATCTCTGCGCTGCAGACAAGCTCAGAATGCAAAGACGGTGTCAGGGAGACTGGGAGTGGGCAAGGGGCAGCCAGGCTGAATGGTCTAGACTAAGGCGTCTATAGATTTGGCATATGTGTGTGTGTGTGTGTGTGTAAGGGACAGAACAAACAGTGAGGTGAGTGAAACCTGCAGAACTGTTGGGGACAAAGGTAGAGGAGAAATCATTTATGACCACATGGTTTGGGAAGAGAAAGAGATGAGAGTGTGTCTGTCTGGAGTTGGGGACCTTTCCAGTGTATCTTAGTCTGAGGTAAGGAACCTGGGACTCTATAGAACTTCTGTACAAATTCAGAGGGAATGGGCACGCTTCTGGAAAGCCAATAGTTTCCTAAGAATCTCAAAGATGAAGAACCACTGATTTATAGTAATTAATACTAGTTACCACCACCTGCCTGTTGGGTTGTTGTACAGTGAAGGCTTTTGTGTTGTTGGTATGTCAAATACCAGCAGGGTCACCCATGGTGGACAGGTTTCAGCTGCACTTCTAGACTAAGACAGACTAGGAAGAAAGACCTGGCTATCTACTCCAAAAATGAACTGATGAAAACCTTATGGATCCCAACAGAATATTGTGTGATACAGTGCTAGATAATGAGCTTCTAGGTTGGAAGACACTCAGAAGAAACAGTAGTCACAACACTGGCCTCAAACCTACCAATGATGATGAAGATCAGAAGATCATCTTGAGTCGAAGCCAATTCAAGGGCAACAGCAGCAACTGTGTTAGTTAGACAGCTTTAAGCACTTCGCTTGTATTGACTCTGTAGCTTTTGTAAGAGCCCCATGAGGAGGTGTCATTATTAGCTCCAAGGTGCCAGTGGGGAAACTGAGGTACAGAGAGATCAAACCACTTGCTCAAGTTCACACAGAGGGCAGGCTTCCAATGGAGGAAACCTCGTTCCAATCTGTGTGGTAAACCATGCTGGTGTTCTGCCTTCCAAGCAGAACTTTCTTGAGACTATATCTTTCTACCCCAGATATTTCTGAATCTGGATCTACGTTAGGATCTTGTTCGGATTTAGTGTATCTGGGGTGGAAAGGCAAATTCTCAGCTGGAGGTTGAACCAGAACGAACTGGGGTGAAGCCCTGCTTTGTAATAATTCATGGGGAAAACTAATTGTTGTAAAGTCTGCACTAGTGACTGTCATCCCTGGCTGTGCATGGGCGCCGCCTGTGAAACGCTACTTGGCTGGTACGGTTGAGCAGTCTACCATTACCTGCACATGTTAGTATGAAATCTGGACTGCTCCTTCCTTTGTAAATGTCATCATTGTACAGCTGAGGGTATGAAACTGACCCACCATCACACAGTGTGGATGGCAGGGCTGGGCTCTTTGCTGAGCCAGGGTCTGTGCTGAGCCAGGGAGGTGGTACTGAGGGTGGTGCTGGCCCAGACCAGCCAGGGCTTGCTTTACAACCCTCCTGAGCAGAGCACAAGAACAAAGCAGAAGAGTTGACAGGGTCAGGGCTAGGTTGAGGATCGAACACTCTATCTTCTGTGCCCTTCTTCTGGGGGTTCCGCTCTGGGGAGGAGGTTGAACCTGGTCCCCAGGGACCTGATGGCGACTAGTGTCTTGCTTATCTTGGTGGCCATGGGCAATGATCATAAACGGTGTGGCTTAAAACAACAGAAATGTATTCTCTTACAGTTCTGGAGTTCAGATGTCTGGAGTCAAGTTGTCAGTTGGCCATGCTCCCTCCAAAGTCTCTAGGGAAAATCTTTCCTGGTCTCTTCCATTCCTTGGCTTGTGGCTGCATCGTTCCAGTTTCTGCCTCTGACTTCACACAACTGTCTTTTTCTGTGTTTATTCTTCTTTTATAAGGACACCAGTCATCAGATTGGGTTAGGGCCCATCTGTCTTCAGGAAGACCTCCTGTTTGCAGAGCTAATACATCTGCAACAACTGTTTCCAAATCAGGCCACAGTTCCAGGTAGCTGGTGTTAGGACTTGAGCAGATCTTTTGGGGAAACACAGAATTAACCCATAGCAGCTAGGGCCTGACCTTGCTGGGGGGTGTGCAGAGAGCACTCTGACTATCTATGTCTTTGATTATTCTCCTTTCCTTGATGGAAGAAGCAGAGTAGGAAGAAACAGATTTTGAGGTACACTGAATTTCACCTCATGCCTCTAAGCCCTCCTGCCCACATGGTGATTTAGAGGCCAATCCTGTCATCCTCTGTCCCTCTGTCAAGCCACATTTCTCTCACAGTCATTGTGGTGCCAAATCCAGCAGAAGGCCATTGCGTTCCTCCCTAAGTGTTCACGACCAACCCTTTATTGCCCAGATCTGCCATTCCTGTCATTTCAGATCCCAGCAGCTGAAGCAAGGGAGGGATTCTGTGTGTCAGACTGGAAATTATTACATTTTGGGGGCAACAAAGGGGAAACCCGGGTCCACCCACATCCCAGATTCATAAGTCCAGAGCACCTCCAGCTTTGGTTTTTTTTTTTTTCCCCCAACCATGGCTTTTTGGAGTCTATTTTCTAAGTCACCCCAGGTAAGCCCAGCTGGGGATCTAACCTCCACTCTTCAAAGCCCCAGGGTCTTAAAACCAAACATAGTTTTCCAAACAAATGTAGAAAAAGAACTTAACCCCCAAACAGGCCCCTTTCATTTGGAAGCCAGGAGCAACAACAATGACAATAGAAACTTGCACTCCTTTTTTAAAAGATCGTTTTTGAAAAATGCAAAGCAAGTTGTTTAAGTTCACCATGGCACAGAATCACAGATTTCTATCTTGGCCCAGATTTTCAAATGGCACAAACCACAGGCAAGTAACACTAAAATAACACCTGGGTTTCAGTGGGAACCT